TTGGATGCTAACTGCTCTTTCCATTTCTCTGTGGGTCAAACATTTTTTTTAAACAGGGGCAGCTGGGTGGCTCAGCCAGTTGAGCATCCAACTTCAGCTCAGGTCATGATCTCACGGTTCGTGGGTTCGAGCCCCCTATCAGGCTCTGTGCTGGAGACAGCTCAGAGCCTGGAGCCTGCTTCGGATTCTGTGTCTCCCTGTCTCTCTCTGCCCCTCTCCTGCCTGTGCGCTCTGTCTCTCAAAAATAAATTTAAAAACTTAAAAAAAGTTTTTAGTAAGAAATAAATTTTTTTAAAAAGCAGCAGAAAATGAAAAAATAACCAGAAAAACGTTTGCAACAGCCATGACACAAAAATTGCTAACATTCTTTTAAAAAATTTAAAAAAAGTATTCATGCCAATACAAAAAAAAAAAAGTTGACAGAGGACAACAAACTACTCACAGAGAGAGAAATGCAAATAACCAGTAAACGTGAAAAATGTTCAATCTCACTGGTAAGCCAGAGAAATGCAAATTAAACAATATATTACTGTTTTTTCCTTACAAATTAGCACAACAAATCATTTAAACCATTCTAATAATCAGTGCTGATGAGGTAGCAGTAGGACGGGCATACTTTTGTTTTACCACTAAAGGTGTAAGTTGGCACGAAGTTCTAAAAGGCAGCTTCTCAACATGTGCGAGAAGCTTTTTAATTCATTTTTTTTAATTTAGTGGTTGTACTTCTAGGAATTTGTCCTAGGAAATGAAAAGAGAGAGACATGAATCTGTGTATGTTTGTTAATTTCAGTGTTCTATTTAATACCAATAAATGTGGAAATAACCTTAAATGTTAATAGTAAAAGCATGATTAAATCTATAACACATCTGGGGCTCCCGGGTGGCTCAATTTGTTAAGTGACCGACTTTGGCTCAGGTCATGATCTCACAGTTCGTGGGTTCGAGCCCCATATCAGCCTCTGTGCTAGAGACAGCTCAGAGCCTGGAGCCTGCTTTGGATTCTGTGTCTCCCTGTCTCTCGCTGCCCCTCCCCTGCTCCCACTCTGTGTCTGTCTCTCAAAAATAAATGGACATTAAGTTTTTTTAAAAAAATCGATAACACATCTATGTGTGTATTACATAGCTATTAAAACTGGTATTATCCAAGAAATTTAATGACATGGAAAAATTCTCACAGTATATGTTGAGGGGGAAGAAAGCAGGATGCAAAATTATATCTCAATTCAAATTCACGTCTAAGTACATAATAAAGAGAGGTAAAAAGATTGATAAGAAATACACAAATAGAGGGGCACCTGGGCGGCTCAGTCAGTTAAGTGTCAGACTCTTGGTTTTGATTCGGGTCCTGATCTCACGATTTTTGGATTTGAGCCCCACATTGGTCTCTGCGCTGACAGTGTGGAGTCTGCTTGGGATTCTCTCTCACTCCCTCTCTCTGCACCTTCCCTACTCACTGGTTCTCTCTCTCTCAAAATAAACATTTAAAACTATTTTTTTAAGGAAATCCATGAAGAGAGTTTCACTTCTAAGAAGATGGTGTAGACATACTTCTCCCTATTCCTTCTGATAAATACAGCTAAAAACCCTGGACGTTATTATAAAAGAAGTTTATGAGGACTTAGAAAGAAGTGAGACCAGTTAGGGGGCCCTGGGACCCAAGGAAGGACATATGGTGAGGCCCCTGGATTTTCTTTCTGCTTTATGTATCCTGTTATCCAACCTGTATCATTTTCCTTCTCTCTGAAGAGCTTCTGGTGACATTTCTTGCAAGACTCTGGTGACGAATTCCCTTAGTGTTCATCTATCTGAGGAGATCTTTATTTCCCCTTTGTTTTTGAAGGATAATTTTACTTAGATACAGAATTCCAGGTTGGTGTGTTTTATTCGTTCCACACTTCAAATATTTCACCCTGCTTTCTTGCTTGCATGGCTTGTGAAGGGACGTCTGATACAATTTATACCTCTCTTCTATAGGTTAAGTTGGGAATTTTTTTCTTTGTCTTCTTTCGAGATTTTCTGTTTGCTCTTAGTTTTTCATAGTTTGAATAGGATATGCCTAGGTATAGTTTTTCAGGATTTATCTTCGCTTGGTATTCTCTGAACTCTCTGGATCTGTGGTTTGGTGTCTGTCATTAATTTTGGAAAATTCTCAGCCATCATTACTCAAATACGTCTTCCGCTCCTTTCTTCTTTCTTTTTCTGATGTTCTCGTTATATATATGTATGTTACACCTTTTATAATTGTGTCACGGTTCCTGGACATTCTGTTCTGTTCAGTCCTTTTTTCTCTTTGCATTTCAGTCTGGGTAACTTCTATTGACATTTTTTCAAGCTCATGGATTCTTTCTTTGGTTGTGTCCTATTAATAAACCCGTCAAAAGTATTCTCCATTTCTTATGGTGTTTTGATTTCTAGCATTTTCTTTATATTCTTTGAGTTTCAAGGTTTCTGCTTACATTAAATATCTGTTCTTGCATGCTGTCTATTTTTTTCTATTAGAGCCCTTAGCTTATTAATCACAGTGATTTTAAATTCCTGGTCTGATACTTCCAAAATCTGTTATATCTGATTCTGATGTTGGCTTTGTCTCTTCAAACCTTTTTTTTTTTTTTTTTTCCCTTGCCTTTTAGCGGGCCTTGTCATTTTTTTTTTTTTTTTTTTTTTTTTTTAAAGCTAGACATGATGTATGGGTAACAGGAAGTGAGGTAAATGAGTCTTTATCTGGCTACAAATTGTGCTGTATACTGTTCGCTGTAACAAACAGGTAGGTAGGTGTCTGAGGCTTCCATTTCTTCAACCGTCTTTGTTTTTGTCTCCCCTGGGGTCTTTGATTTTTCCTAGAAACTTCCTCCTAAATAGGCCTGAGCCCGAAGTGCTCTCATCTGTGATCCTCTGTAGATGTAAGTGTGTTGAGGGGAAGCATTCAATACTCCTTGATCAGGCCTCCGCCTTTCAGTGGGTCTGTGCCTCTGAACTGTTACCTTCACTAGTTTTTCTTGGAATTTCCCCCTCTTGGGTGAGACAGGAAGACTGGAAGGGCCTGGAGTTAGCTACTTGCCCTTCCTCGGGTCAGATGATAATTTTCCTTGAGAGCTGGCCTTCATTACAGGGAACAGAACAAATAACAGAACTCTCTGGGAGTAGTTCGAAGTGGTTTCTTTTCCCTTCCCCCTGCCAGAAGCAGGAGGTGATTTTTCTGTGTCTTCACGGTGGGAATACGGAGAGGCCCCTGAAGGTAAAGTCATGAAAGTTTTACCCTGCCCCCAAGCTTTGGCCCCACTGAGGCTTTTTGTTTTTGTTTTTTTTTTTTAATTTTTTTTTTAACGTTTATTTATTTGTGAGAGTGACAGACAGAGTGTGAGAGGGGGAGGGGCAGAGAGAGAGGGAGACACAGAATCCGAAGCAGGCTCCAGGCTCTGAGCCATCAGCACAGAGCCCGACGCGGGGCTCGAACTCACGGGCCTGGCCCGTGAGATCGTGACCCGAGCTGAAGACGGACGACCAACCGACTGAGCCACCCAGGCGCTCGGGCCCCACTGAGTTTTTACAGCTCAAGTTAATACACATTGAGCCTCTGGCCATTTGTTAAGTGGAATTTAACTCTTCTTGCCAATACCAGCTCCAGCAGCAGGCTTCCATTCTGGAGCTTTAGCAGGGTCTGTCTGTCTGTCTGTCTCAGTCTCTCTCCAGTTTTCAAGGCAGTAGTTTTCCCTGTGATCTGGATTCTCTGACAGATGAAAGAAGAATTGCTTTTCAGTGTGTTGAGGTTCTTCTTATCACTCCCATCCTCACAATAACTTCTAAGCTCTTTACGCGTTGGAACAAAACCAAACGTCCATAAATTGCTTTCTAATGAAAATTTTACAAAAGTGGGCATCACAGTAGAGTCAAGAGATTGGGTCATTATGGTTGAGTTTAATTGATCCTAATTATGCTGACCAATTTAAAAAAGTGGAATCTACTTTCAAATGAAAAGTTTTAGTCTGTTATAGAGCGTGTGCTCCTGAGAGAGGGGGGTGAGGGGGAGAGAGAGAGAGAGTGCACGACAGAGCAAGAGAGGGAGAATGTTAAGCAGGCTCCATGCCCAGCAGAGTTCAAACTCATGAAATGTGATATCATCATGAGCCGAAATCAAGGGTCTGGCACTCAGCCAACTGAATAACCCAGGTGCCCCTCAAATGAAAAGTTTTAAGACATACATTATACACACAGTCATTCTTATAACTTTGTTTTTACATTGCCCACCCCTCCCACCCCCCGCCATGGAACTGCCCACTGCTTAATAAGAAAGACCTTCAACCACCTTTGATCCTTAAGTCTTTACAGTTATATAAAATAGCAGACATTTAAAGAATGTAAGTGCCAACTGCTTAGGGACAAGCATTTTGAATGTATTTAACATTGGCTATTCTGTGGTTTGGTTTTACAAAACAATATAACATGCTATATTTTCTCTACCAAGAAATATTTTATAGTATAGTAATTCTGTCCGTTGTGGGTCATATAAACTCAGCCAGAAATAGAGCTTTTTATTCATGCTATAGTGGTCATTATCAGACTCAGAAGTTCATATGCTTTTTTTTTTTTTTTTAATTTTTTTTTTCAACGTTTATTTATTTTTTGGGACAGAGAGAGACAGAGCATGAACGGGGGAGGGGCAGAGAGAGAGGGAGAAACAGAATTGGAAACAGGCTCCAGGCTCTGAGCCATCAGCCCAGAGCCTGACGCGGGGCTCGAACTCACGGACCGCGAGATCGTGACCTGGCTGAAGTCGGACGCTTAACCGACTGCGCCACCCAGGCGCCCCAAAAGTTCATATGCTTAAAAAACAAGTACAGTTTCGTAGTAGTAAAAATGCTAAAGTTGGTCTAGTTTACTGTAATTACCAATAGAATATTTCCTATAAAATCTAATTGAACTAGGAAGCATTGTTTCAAAATTACAATTTGTGAAGCTGTTGAGATTTGATTTAAAATTTTCTTTTTCTTTTTTAAACTTAGGTTGCTTCCAGCTGTAATTGATCAGAAATCATTTATTTTCCCTCTAGAATCTGAGGGTAAACTTTGGCAACCCCAAAGACAGCACAGTACATTTCCACAAGCCTTTCCAAGAAAAAAGGTAGGCATAGAGATACCCATAAAGACAAAAAGGGGATTAGTGGTTGTGGAAGCTAGGGGGAGGGAAGAATGGGGAGGGACATCTAATGGAGATCAAGTATCTTTTGGGGATGATGAAAATGTTCTGGAATTCAATAGTGGAGATGGTTGCACAACACTGTGAATCTACTGAACACCGCTGAATTATACACTTTTTTTTAGCATTTTAGTTTTTAATTTGTTTAATGTTTTATTATTTATTTTTGAGAGAGAGAGAGAGAGAGAGAGAGAGAGAGAGAGAGTGCAGAGGGGAAGAGGGGCAGGGAGAGAGGGAGACACAGAATCTGAAGCAGGCTCCAGGCTCTGAGTGATCAGCATAGAGCCCGACACGGGGCTTGAACTCACAAACCGTGAGATCATGACCTGAGCCAAAGTTGGACGCTTAACCAACTGAGCCACCGAGGTGCCTTGAATTGTACACTTTAAAGGGATAAAATGAAGGTATATGAATTATAGCTCAATAAAGTTGTTAGGAAAAAAAAACTTTTTAAGAGCAAAGGTAGGAAATTTGCTTTGCGTTCTAAATGAGAAAACATGCCTATTGTTTCAATTATGTTCGTGGTAGGGTCAGTTCCTACCACAAGACAGCTTTCTTCAGAAAGCAAATATATCACAACAGAATGCCTTCCAATGCCTTCCAAAAAATGCCTACCAATTTTTTAATTGGCAATAATCACACCTCAGATAAACCAATGGCTACGATACTGCCACTGTGCAAAGCCAGAATTTTGGAACAGGGCCCTAGAAGGAAAGTTTCCAAGTGGCAAGGAATTGAGTTCAAGAGGTTACTGATTTTGCCTCTTGAGTGTTCTTGCTCTTTAATTCCTGTTCCCTCCCCAACCCCCCACAAGTGATAATAGCTCACCTCCTGTCAGTGCTTTTGGAACACTAACTTGTTTAACCTTCAGAACGATTCTAGAAAGACGTGCTATTATGGTCTTCATTTTATTGATGAAAAAAAACCAAGATTCAGAAATGTTAAAGAAATTGCCCAAGAGAACACAGCTAGTAAGTGTCAGGGCCAGGATGATGAACCCAGAAATGTAGGCATAACCACTGTGGTACCCCTTTGTAGGCAATAACTTTGTTGAGGTATAATTAATATACCATAAAATTCACCCTTTTTAAGTGTTCAGTCAGTGGTTTTTAGTATCTTCCCCAAGCTGTGAAGCCATCATGCAGTACCCTTTTTATAATGGCATTATCCGTATTTTTCCTTTACCACACTTGGCAAAATTTCTAACTAGATTTTTTTTTTTTAAGTGTCAGCTTCTCTCACTAGAATGGAAGTTTAATGAGGGCAGAAGCCATGTCAGTTTGTTCATTGCTGTATATTGCCAGGGGATTCTCCATAAATGCTTGTGGAATGAAGAAAGGACATCATAGGGACCCCTAAGGGGGTGCCCACCCCCATGTAAAACCAGTCCAGGCTCCACTACACTCGCAAAACAGCCAACTCTGACCACGGTCGTGGCACTTCTTACACGGTGTTCATTTGGCCACTATCTGTGTGCCAAGAATTGGCAGAGGCACACTATGATCAATGATGCCAGGTCCCTGCTCTCAGAGCTTACATTCTAGTCAGGGGAGACAGACCATCGATAAGAAAATACCACATCATAATAAAGGCTGTTCTGAAAAGAAAACGGAGTGCTATGATAAAGGGAGCTTAAACTTCTCACCTCCCTTACTAGTAAGTCTCTGCTTCAGCTCAATTTCCCCCCTCTCCCCCAAGAATCTCAAGAGGGTCACTGGTGGCCCACATGTAGAAGATTGGGGCTCTTTGGAAACAAAGTATCTGAAACTAGGACTCTCTCGAATGTATAGCTGCTATTATGATTCCGGAAAAAAATAAAACCACAGCCAGAACGTATTTTCCCAGAAGAGTTTTGAATACTGGAGAATGATCATAAAGATAGGGAATCTTATGTGCAGTGTGTAAGCCCAGAGTTCTTTTAAAGACTGTGAGCATGGGTGAGCTTCATTTACAAGGGGCATGGACGGTTTCCTACCCTGACTTTACCTCCAGGGCCTAGATCCCTATTGTTGTTTTATTTCTAATATCAGTGACATCTGCTTAAAAATGCATAACCGCTGACATACAAGATAGCCCTAATTTTGCATTGTAAACTCAATGACAAACAGTGCTGTTTTGCCAGCTGTTCCCGCAAGCCTCCTACACCAACTTAAAAGCTTATATTATTAAGTAGCAGGGAAATCCAACTGGGATATTACCACCTTTAATTGCCCACTGCCAACCTGTTCGACTAGGTAAACCCAGGTTGCTTCCTTAAGCTTCCTTTCTCCAAAGTAGATAACGATCTTTGGAGTTCCATTTAGCACCAAAAACTTGCATGACAAACAATTAGGAGTTGCTCAATTATAATTACACTCATAATTAAGAATTGTTTATGAGGACAGCTACATGCCAAAGAATGAAACTGGACCATTTTCTCACACCATACGCGAAAATAAACTCAAAATGAATTAATGACCTAAATGCGAGACCTGAAACCATGAAATTCCTAAAAGAAAACAGACAGTAATCTCTTCTACATCAGACTTAGCAACATTTTTCTAGAAGGTCTCCTCAGGCAAGGGAAACAAAAGCAAAGATAAGCTATGTGGACTACACCAAAATGAAAAGCTTTTACACAGCAAAGGAAACCATCAGCAAAAAAGAAAAACAAAAAACAAAAAAAAACCCAAACACAAAAGAAACAAGGCAACTTACTGAATGGGAGCAGATGTTCTCAAATGATATTTTCAATAAGAGGTTATACAACTAATAAATATATAAAGAACTATAAACACTAAAAAACCCCAATCTGATTAAAAAATGGGCAGGGCATCCGGAATAGACATTTTTGCAGAGAAGGCATAGAGATGACCAATAAACACATGAAAAAATGATCAACATCACTGATCACCAGGGAAATGCAAATCAAAACTGCAATGAGCTATCACTTTCCACCTGTCAAAATGGCTAGACCCGAAAAGGTAAGAAATAGCACGTGTTGGAGAACATGTGGAGAAAAGGGAACCCACGTGCACGGTTGGTAGGAATGTAAACTGGTGCAACCACTGTGAAAAGCAGTACGGAGCTTCCTCAAAAAATTAAAAAATGGAACTACCACATGATCCAGCAACTCCACTATTGGATATTTACCTAAGAAAATGAAAACATTCATTCAAAAAGATGCAGACACCCCTATGTTTATTGCAGCATTATGTACAATAGCCGGGATATGGAAGCAACACAAGTGTCCATCGATAGATGGATGAATAAAGAAGATGTGGTACATATACACAATGGAATATTACTCAGCCATAAAAACGAACGAGATCTTGCCATTTGTGACAACATGGATGGACCTCGAGGGTATTATGCTAAGTGAAATAAGTCAGACACAGAAAGGCAGATACTACAGGATTTCACTTACATATGGAATCTTAAAAAAACAAAAACAAACAAACAAAAAAAACAAATGAAGCAACAGATACCAGACTCTTAAATACAGGGAACAAACTGGTGGGTACCAGAGGAGAGGTGGATGGGGGATGGGCAAAATGGATAAAGGGGATTAAGAGGTACAAACTTGCAGTTATAAAGTAAGTAAGTCACAGAGATGAAAAGCAGAGGGAATATGGTCAGTAATATTGTGAGGGAAAAAAACAATTGGTTATTGATCTTTTACTTTCGAAAAAGCCGTATTGTGATGACTTTTCTTCACAATGTATCTTTGCTCCTCATCAACACCAGCTCAGCCCCTCTTTGGGGCACCTCAGGCTACAGGGTTTGAAATAAAAACAACAAAGGAGAAGATGGAGGGAAGAAGAGAAGGAGAAAAAGTTTAGGGGCCAAGAGAGCATTTGATTTTCTTGTAGTATCTGGTGAGCAAACTCCTACACCGTTCAGATCAAAGGACCTCCTTACAAGCACGATACAGGCTGTGGAGCAGGGGAAATAAACGCATCCCATTGCTTGAAAATGATTCCCTCTCTTAATTCCATACAATGGGGGGCGCCTGGGTGGCGCAGTCGGTTGAGCATCCGACTTCAGCCAGGTCACGATCTCGCGGTCCGTGAGTTCGAGCCCCGCGTCAGGCTCTGGAGCCTGGAGCATGTTTCCGATTCTGTGTCTCCCTCTCTCTCTGCCCCTCCCCCATTCATGTTCTGTCTCTCTCTGTCCCAAAAAATAAATAAACGTTGAAAAAAAAAATTTAAAAAAAAATTTCCATACAATGGATGCTTTATCAGTCGAACAAACATAAAAAATACACTGTGATCCACTATGATGCAGCAATGTGCAGAATCAGGGTCTAAGATGGGAAGGATCCAACTTTGTGGATGTGGACGAATTGAGAAAGCGACTTTCAAACTTTGCTCTCAAACTGAAGTTTTGAAGATTTTGGACATCATGAAGAATAATATGGTGAGAGATGAAAGAAGGAAAAAGAGCAAGTAAGCATGGCTTCCCAGACTGTCGCTGAGAGTTCTGCCTCACTTGGCGTTGGGCGGAAAGTTTTGCAGATGAGATGGTAATTGCATTTCACAGACCAGAGCGCACAGAAGACAAGGCCCCCAATGAGCCAACCACTGTGACCTCCATCTTCTCACAAGAAGCTAGGCTCCATGAAAGCAGTGGCTTTTAAAAAATGTCTGCTCCTGGGGCGCCTGGGTGGCTCAGTCGGTTAAGCGGCCGACTTCGGCTCAGGTCATGATCTCGCAGTCTGTGAGGGCTGTGAGTTCAAGCCCCACGTCAGGCTCTGTGCTGACAGCTCAGAGCCTGGAGCCTGTTTCAGATTCTGGGTCTCCCTCTCTCTGACCCTCCCCTGTTCATGCTCTGTCTCTCTCTGTCTCAAAAATAAATAAACGTTGAAAAAAAAATTAAAAAAAAATGTCTGCTCCTTTTCCCTGGGTTTTTAAAAACCCTTTTATTATATTATGGAAATATCCAAA